TCAAAAAATTTCTCTGTAGTATGTGATGCTATTTGATAGCATTTTACTAAAGGCAGAGCTTCTTTCAAAATTGAGGTCAATCCTCTCAAACCATGCTGCTCCTCTATCAACTAAGTTTATGTAATGTTCTAAACACTTATTGCCATTTTAACAATGTTCACAGCATCTTCACTAGGAGTAAATTCTATCTCAAGAAACATTTTCTTTGCTCATCCATGAGAAGCAACTCTTCATCCATTCAAGTTTGATCATGAGATTGCAACAGTTCAGTCATATCTTTAGGTTCCACTTCTAATTCTAGTTCTCTTGCTATTTTCACCACATCTCCAGTTACTTCCTCCATTGAATTCCTGAACCCTTCAGAGTCATCATCAATGAGATGATTCCTATGATGTTGATATTTTTACCTCTTCTCATGAGTTATGAATGTCCTTAATGGTATCAAGAATAGTGAATCCTTTCCAGAGGTTTTAAATTTGCTTTGCCCAGATACATCAGAGGAATCACTCTCGATGGCAGCTGTAGCCTTATGAAATGTATTTCTTAAATAATAAGACTTTAAAGTCAAAATGACTTCTTGATTCATCAGCTGCAGAATGAATGCTGTGTTAGTAGATGTGAAAGCAACATTCACCTCCTTGTACGTCTTCATCAGAGTTCTTAGGTGACCAGGTACGTTGTCAATGAGCAGTAATATTTTGAAGGAATCTTTTTCTGAGCCACAGGTCTCAACTGCAGGCTTGAAATATTCAGTAAACCATGCTGTGAACAGTTGTGCCATCATCCAGGCTTTGCTGTTTCATTTCTAGAGCACTGTCAGAATACATTTAGCATATTTCTAAAGGGGCCTAGGGTCTTCAGAATGGTAAATGAGCACTGGCCTCAACTTCAAATCACCAGCTGCATTTGCCTCTAACAAGAGAGTCAGCTTGTCCTTCGAAGCTTTGAAGGCAGGCATTGACTTCTCCTCTTTAGCTTTGAAAGTCCTAGATGGCATCTTCTTCCAATGGAAGGCTGTTTTGTCTACACTGAAAGTCTGTTGTTTGGTGCTGCCATCTTCATCAGTGATCTTAGCTAGATCTGTAGATAACTTGCCTCAGCTTCCACATCAGCACTTACTGATTTATCTTGTATTTTTTTTTTTTTTTTTTTGGGACGGAGTTTCGCTCTTGTTACCCAGGCTGGAGTGCAATGGCACGATCTCGGCTCACCGCAACCTCCGCCTCCTGGGTTCAGGCAATTCTCCTGCCTCAGCCTCCTGAGTAGCTGGGATTACAGGCACGCGCCACCATGCCCAGCTAATTTTCTGTATTTTTAGTAGAGATGGGGTTTCACCGTGTTGACCAGGATGGTCTCAATCTCTTGACCTCGTGATCCACCCGCCTCGGCCTCCCAAAGTGCTGGGATTACAGGCTTGAGCCACCGCGCCCGGCCCTATCTTGTATTTTTATGTTATGGAGATGGCTTCTTTCCTTAAGTCTCATGAATCAACCTCTACTAGTTTCAAACTTTTCTTCTGCAGCTTCCTCACCTCTCTTAGGCTTCCTAGATTTAAGGAGAGTTAGGGCCTTGCTCTGGATTAGGCTTTGGCTTAAGGGAATGTTATGACTGGTTTGATGTCTATTCAGGCCACTAAAACTTTTTCCATATCAGCAATAAGGCTGTTTTTTTTTTTCTTATCATTTGTGTGTGTCTTAGTCCATTTGTGTTGCCATAAAAGAATACCTGCGGCTGAGTAATTTATAAAGAAAAGAGGTTTATTTGGCTCACAGTTCTGCAGGCTATACAAGAAGCACAGTGCCATCTACTTCTGGAAATGAACTGCAAGAGGCTTTCACTCATGGCAGAAGAGGAAGGGGAGCAGAAATCACATGGCTAGAGAGAGAGAAAGAAAGAGAGAGGAGGAGGTGTCAGGCTCCTTTCAACAACCAGATCTCATGGGAACTAAGAGTGAACAGTCACTCGATTCTGCAAGAATGACACCAAGTCATTCATGAAGGATCTGCTCCCATGACCCAAGCATCTCCCACTAGGCCCACCTCAAACAGTGAGGATCAAATTTCAACATGCAATTTAGAGGGAACACATATCCAAACTATATCAGTGTGTTTACTGGAGTAGCATTCCTTTTTTCTTTTTTTTTTTTTGACAGAGTCTTGCTCTGTTGCCCAGGCTGGAATGCAATAGTGCAATATCAGCTCACTGCAACCTCTGCCTCTGCAGTTCAAGCAATTCTCCTGTCTCAGCCTCCTGAGAAGCTGGGATTACAGGCACCCGCCACCACACCCACCTAATTTTTGTATTTTAAGCAGAGACAGGGTTTCATTATGTTGGTCAGGCTGGTCTTGAACTCCAGACCTCAGGTGATCCACCCACCTTGGCCTCCCAAAGTGCTGGAATTACAGGCGTGAGCCACTGCGCTCGGCCTGGAGTAGCACTTTTAATTTCCTTCAAGAATGCTTCCTTCTATTCCCAACTTGGCTAATTGTTTGGAGTAAGAGGCCCAATTTTTGGCCTATCTCAAATTTCCATGTGCCTTTCTTACTAAGCTTAGTCATTTCTAGCTTTTGAGTTAAAATGAGAGAAGTGTGACTCTTCCTTTCTTTTTTTTGAGACGGAGTCTTGCTCTGTTGCAGTGGTGCAATCTTGGCTCACTGCAACCTCTGCCTCCCAGGTTCAAGTGATTCTCCTGCCTCAGCCTCCTGAGTAGCTGGGACTACAGGCATGCACCACCACGTCCAGCTACTTTTTATATTTTTAGTAGAGACGAAGTTTCACCATGTTGGCCAGGCTGGCCTCATAACTCCTGAACTCAGGTGATTTACCCACTTTGGCCTCCCAAAGTGCTAGGATTACAGGTGTGAGCCACCGCACTGGCCTGACTCTTCATTTCACTTGAAAACTTAAAGGCCATTGCAAGTTTATTAACTGGCTTAATGTGAATATTGTTGTGTCTCAGGAAATAGGGAGGCCCAAGGAGAGGAAGGGAAAGGTGGGGTCAGCCAGTTGGTGGAAAAGTCAGAACACACACATTTATCATTTATGTTCACTGTCTTATTTGGGAGTGGTTTGTGGCACCCCAAACACTGCAATAGTAACATCAAAGATCTCTGGTCACAGATCACCATAACAGATATCATAGTAATTAAAATGTTTGAATCTTGCTGGAATTGCCAAAATGTAACACAGGGACACAAAGTGAGCATGTGCTGTTGGAAAAATGACGCTGATGGACTTGCTCAATGCAGGGTTGCCATAAATCTGTGAAGAGCAATAAAACAAAGTGCAATAAAGTGAGATGTGCCTGTAGTTAGCCAATTTCCGGCCATCTTCAGTGACTGGGAATCCACTCCCTACTGGACACTGTCTTTAGACAGCTCTAATCATTATCAAGTTTTCCCTTTCTTCTTTATTTCTATTATTTATTATTTTAAATTTTTTTTCTCAGACCTCACAGGGATGATTTTTTTTTTCTTATAAAGGAATGCGTAAGTGAATTATGAAGCATTCTCATGATGAGTTCTTAAATCAGTAGTTAAAATGTTAATTAAGAATTTCGAGTGGCATGGGAAGGTGCTTAAAATACAATTAGGTAAAAATAAAGAAATGAAACTGCATGTATAATATTTCAACTATATTTTAACAATACATAAAAACAAATGATCTAAAAATAATAGTTTGTGCCTCTGGGTGGTGGGATCTTGGGGGATTATTTTTTGCTTGTTTATATTTTTTGTGGTTAAAGGAAATTTTTGGGGGCATCTTTTACTTTATAATTATAGGAACTGGGGAAGACATTTTCCTTTCCTAAAGATGGAATTTCTTCTCTGATTTATACCTATTGGTTCTCAATGTAGGCTCTGAGGATAACTCAGAACAAATACTTTTGTTCTCCCATATAATTGCCTTTCAAAAAGTTTGAAGACAGATTAAGTGTTTAAGCATGGATGTTTATAGATAGGCAAACAGAAATTGTTTTCTTTTTAAAAATTTAGACGGCAAAAATCTGAAACAGTCAGGATGTTTCCATTTCTGTGAGAATGGTACTGTACTCTTATGTAAATACTATGTTTTCCCATTCTCTTCCAAAATAAACCATGGAAAGAAAACAAATGTATCACCCTAGACTTGGTGGTTTTATTGAATTCAACATTTTATGAAACTGGATTTAGTAAAATCAGTTTGAGTTTTCTGAGAGTGTCCCTGAGGTCTTTGGTAAACTTGCACTCTTGGTTTAAGGGGATGAGCAGAACAAAAAGAGGAACTCCTGGGAACAATGGGACCACTGGGGAAATCAGGTGGGTTGTGGAGAGCCTGGAGGGACTTTAACACGGGACAGTACTCAGATCCCCCTGCCCTCTTGTACCATGACACTGACTCTATTTAGAGTCACCATATTAAAGAGATTTTGACCACTCCAAGGCAAAAATGATATTACTCTGTAACTATATAGTGTACAGTCAGTATCCCTGGAATTTAGGGCATAGGCAACTAATCTTCGATAGAAAGTTGAAAAAAGTTTCAAAAAGGATATGTCTATACATGAATTCACCATAATGCCTCAGCGTTACCTACCAAGATTAACTCACTGTCCAGTCTTAAGTCAACTCAAAATGGTGGAAGAGTTTTTCTGGGGCATGACTCTTTGTAGATTTTTTTTTACAGTACTTTTTGTCTTAATTCATTTTCCTACTAAACTTTGAAACTCTTAACAATAGTTTTGGGGTAAGTCAGTGTTATCCATAAATTTTTATTGTTTAACCTGTTAAAAGAATTATATAAAAATTAAAAATACCAATCAAAAATTTTATTCAATAATGAATGTAGATTATTTCAAACAGAGTCAAATACAGCTATCAATTACATATTTTAAATGGGATTTTTAAAGATAATCTAAAGGTTGGTATCACAGAGTTATGCTGCTTAGGCAGAGCAGTAGATGTGAATACTTCCTTGCATCTAAAACAAGGCTTATTCTTGATCTGTTTCTTTGTTTCCAGATGGTCTCCCAGCTTGAAGCTCAAATATCTGAGCTTGTTGAACAGTTGGGAAAGGAGTCTGGGTTTCACCAGAAAGCTCTCCAGAGGGCGCAGAAAGCAGAAACTAAGTTGGAGACTCTTCAGGGTCAGCTGACACACCTGGAGGCAGAGCTCGTTTCTGGAGATGTTTTGCGAGACAACTTGAATTTTGAGAAACAAAAAGTAATGACCTGGGGACATGTCCATGAGTGGAAGCGTCTGGTGTCGTATAATATTTACCTGAAAATATTCTGAATTTTACAGTACTTAGTTTGGTTAAGTCCTGGACCGTGAGTCAATTTCAAGGAAGAATGGGTCTCTTCCTATTGTTTGGAGCTTCCTTGATTCAAATTAATTTAATTAAGCTCAACAAGTATTTATTGAATGCCTATCATATATGAGGCCCTAAAGGTTTGGCAAGCTAAAATAGGAATAATACACAGTTCCTGATCATATAGAGCTCACAATTCAATAGGGGAGACAGATATTCAGATACTTTGCCATATTATAAGATTATAAGTGTTATATATATTGAATTAATAAAGTGCTATAGGAACTTCTAGATAAAGGGAAGATTTTATGGGAGAGGAGATAATTAAGTTTATCTTTGAAAGATAAGTAGGATTATAGTGGCGAGAAGAGACAGATCCCGTAGGGGAAACGGTTTGAACAAAGGCATGAAATCTTGCAAGTGCATAGTATATTCAGAGAATGCTAAATGGTGAATCCTGTATGGCTGGAACATGCTATTCTTGGTGGATCTGTGACGAGAGAAGACTGGAATGGCTTAGATTATGAAGATGGAATATTCTTTACTCTGTAGAATATGAAGTGTGGTAAGTGTGAGCATTGCAGTATTTTAGAAAGATAGTGTGATGTCCCTGTGAAGCTGAGATTGTGGCATGGAGAGTCTCAGAAACCGTGGCGCCAATAACCCAGTGGGAGAGGAGAGTGAAATGAGAAGAGATGGGGTTCGCACTGAGGATTCGAATGTGGGGAGATTGTCAGTGATCTTTGAGAGGCAGTTTTGGTAGAGTGGTGGAGAGCTGAAGCCAGTTTGCTTTGGGCTGAGGGGAGACTAGAGAGGGAATGGGGAGTGACCTCCAAGTAGACCAATGTGAAGCCTGGTGACCAAAGAGAAGAGAGGCATGAGGCAGCAGCTGTGAAAAACAGGATCAAAGAAAGGTTTTTCTGGACAGGATGGGGAGTAAGAGTGGACTGGAAGAGTCCTTAGGAGGGTTCATGGGAAGGGAAAGGGTGGCACATAGCCTCAAGAGCCTCGAAATGCAGCATTTGGCATGAAAAGTACTTTTAAGCTGAAACATCTACACTCAAGTAACATATTCCTTTTCATTCTTCTGTATTTAAAACACGGAGGAATCGTCATGCCTGAATTGAGGTTGAATATGCAAAGATGCGCCAAAGGTGTCTGTGGAAAATCAAGTCTAGTGGATGAGACAGGGAAATTGGGGCTCAATAGTACAATGAGTGCCATGATGGAGGCAGGTATAAAATTTGACAGAAACTTGGGAAAAGGAGCAATGACTTTTTTTTTCTGTACGGGAAGTGAGCTATCTTCACAGAAGAGGTGAACATTGAAGAATGAGTAGGAATTTGTCAGGCAGGAGAGGTGGGAAGGAATTGGAGGCAGAAAGAATAGCAGGAACAAAGAAGAAATGGAGGTGTGTGAAGATGGCTCAGGAAATGAATGAGCTGCAGGGAGCCTGGGACATGATACTTGGTGAAACCAAAGGCATGGGATGGCACTGGAGGCAGGTAGGCAGCATTGAAATGGGTCAGTCTGGGCTGGGCACGGTGGCTCATGCCTGTAATCCCGGCACTTTGGGAGGCTGAGGTGGGTGAATCTTGAGGTCAGGAGATCGAGACCATCCTGGCCAACATGGTGAAACCCTGTCTCTAATAAAATGCAAAAAATTAGCCGAGCGTGGTGGCACATGCCTGTAGTCCCAGCTACCCGGGAGGCTGAGGCAGGAGAATCACTTGAACCCAGAAGGCAGAGGTTTCAGTGAGCCGAGATGGCACCACTGCACTCCAGCCTGGGTGACAGAGCAAGACTCCATCTCAAAAAAAAAAAAGTCAGTCTAATGACTCAAGCTTCATTGCATAGGTAATGGGAAGCCAGAGAAGGTTTTTGAGTAAAAGATTTTGCTCAAGGAGGACTGGCTTAGAGGGTAGCAGGGCTGTCCAATCTTTTGGCTTCTTTGGGCCACATTGAAAGAATTGTCTTGGGCCACACATAAAAGACACTGACACTAATGACAGAGGATGAGCTAAAAAAAAGAAAAATCCATGCATAATTTTTGAGATATCTGCAACCACAGATAAGCAAAAACATCCTCACATTCAAAGGGCTGGACACAGCTGAGGGGAAGTAGGGAGCCCAGCGGGGGATATTTAGACTAGTCCACTTCAGAAGATAATAATGATCTGAACCGTGTAGTGGTTTTGTGAAGGGAAATAGGGGAAAGAGTTGGCTGGGCTTGGTGGCTCATGCCTGTAATCCCAGCACTTTGGGAGGTCAAGGCAGGTGGATTGCATGAGCTCTGGAGTTCAAGACCAGCCTGGCCAACGTGGCGAAACCCAATCTCTACAAAAAAACACAAAAATTAGCTGCTGTGGTGGCACGCACCTGTGATCCCAGCTACTTGGGAGGCTGAGATGGGAGGATAGCTTGAGCCTGGGAGGTGGAGGTTGCGGTGAACTGAGATCACACCACTGAACTTCAGCATTGGTGACAGCGTGAGACCCTGTCTCAAAACCAAACCAAACCAAACTAAAACAAAACAAAAATAGGCCAGGCATGGTGGGAAAAAATAGGCCAGCACTTTGGGAAACTGAGGCAGGTGGATCATTTGAGGTCAGGAGTTCAAGAGCAGCCTGGCCAACATGGCGAAACCCCATCTCTACTAAAATACAAAAATTAGCCAGGTGTGATAGTGTGTGCTTGTAATCCCAGCTACCCAGGAAGCTGGGGCAGGAGATTGCTTGAACCCAATAGGCAGTGAGCCGAGATCGTACCATTGTACTCCAGTCTGGGTGACGGAGACTCCCTCTCAAAGCCCCTCCCTGCAAAAAACTTCAAAAATAAAACAAAAAAACAAAAAACCACAACCAAACAAAAAGAAACATTGCACCTGAGTATAGTAATATAAGTTGGTAGCCACCTAACTGCCTGCTGGACAGCTTCACCTGCATGGTCCGTGAACACCAAAATATATTCAAAACTGAAATGACATCTGCTCAGATGTGTGTTTCTCTCCTGCTTCAGTAACGGTGGTAATCTGCCTCCACTTGCCCAAGCCATCTTCAATGCTTCCCTCTTTTTCATCAATTCCCAAGCACTGTAAATCCTGTCTCCTTATTAGAAGTCCAGTGCCTCCCATCTCTATATCCAGCAGCTGCACTTTGGCTCTGAGAATTGTGTTCATTAACACGGACTAGGGAAAGAAGCTTCTAGCTGAGCTCCCGGCATGTTCTTACTCTCTCCATTGCTGCCAGGGAGGTCTTAATGAAACATGTGCCTAAACTTAATCTTTCTTTATCTTAAAACTGGTCAGTGGCTCTCTGTGGCCTCCAGGATCAGATACAGCTTTCTTCTTTTTCCATGGCATCACATTCTGAGAGCTGGCGAGTTGGCCTCTCCATCTTCCCTCTCTCCTGCAATTTCTCCTGCCAGCAGGGGCAAACTCAGAAGCCTTCTGGGAGTGGCAGGACCCTAGTGGGGTCCGCGGTAAGTGACTGTGAGCCTAAAGACATCACATGCAAATTGGTAGCAACACTCCTCTGCCTTCCTCCGGCTGCCTCCCATATGCCCACAGCTATTCTCACTGAGAGAATGTTCTCCTCACCTCCTTCACCTGGTAACAACAATCTCTTCAAGATCCAGCTCAAATACTGCTTCCTCTGGCAGTCTTCCCTAAGACACTTACTTATCTTTCCTTAGGCTCCCCAAGCAACACGTGCATGCCTCTCTCAGGGTACTTTTTAGCCTTACTGGATTGTTTTAAATTTTTTCTTCCCCAAATATTCCAAGCTTCTTGAGGCCAGAAGAAATTATTTTTTCCTGCATTTCTCCAGGGCTTAGAGAGTCAATAAATATTATTTGAATTATAGAAGAAATATATCCAAGGCAAGAATTTCAGGTGGATTGGTATTTCTTCCCTTACCTCACTATAGATGAATCATTAATTTTAATTGGGATTATGCCTAAATAACTATCAATTATGAAAGCAAATTATGTAAGCTTATTCTGTCCATGGTGAATTTTCTGTTGCTAACTGTGTATGAGATGCATGTTCTGGGAAGGACAGATAGTATGTAAATTGAAAAGCAAAGCTTCACAGAGTTTAAATGGTAAATGAAGGTAATCTAGGCAGACACAAAGAGTAGAATGCAGTTTCTTATTTATGCTGAACTGTGATTAAAATCAACAATATATGCAGTAATCCTTCATTTCTATGAAGTTAAAAGTTTCTAGTAACCTTAATCTTCAGAAGTATAGCCAAGATCCTTGAAATAGAAACTTTCTCGATGGGGTCTCAGCTTGGTCTTGTCTTAATGCCTTTCACCTGTTGTAGTACTGGATTACTAAATGGATGGGTCATATGTAGAAACAGAAAAAAAAGAGGCTTTCATATTGTCATGTAAAAGGTAGTTATCTATTTTACGTAAAATATAAGCAATAGCAGTTACATTACTTTCATAGACACAGATTAAAAAATAAAAATTCCAGATAGACGATACAGCATTAAAAAGTGATAACCTGAGGATGCAGAGACAAAAGCAGTTGATGGTATTGTAACACAATACAATAAGTGATATTTGCAATGACTGTGACTTTTAAAGAAGAGGTAAAATTGTATTCATATGTATGCTATTTGCCAAAATTGGAAAATATATACTTATAAATAATTTCATCCTGATGATTAAAACATAGCTAATTCTTGGCTTTAAGCTGGTGTGCTTCAGTTGGCAGGAAACTGTACCTACTGAAACATTTAATTGCCTGAAAATGCCAGATGGATAAGTTATCGCAATCAGAAGACAATATCAAAGATAAAACCCAAATCATGAAATTAGTATATAGAAAGCTTATTGATTGATTTATTCATCCAGCAAGCACTTAGTAAGCATTATCCTATGTGTGGGCTTGCCAGATAAACCACAAAAATCAAGTAGGGAAAAACCTTTAAATAGCTTTGTAACTTTAGACTGCTAACATATGAATCTTGACTTCCTTCATACAGCTCTATTTTCGGAGGTATTCATTTAATTTGGATGCATTAAACAATTTTAAAGACATTTTCTAAAACATCTTAATAAAAAAGACCCCAAAAATGTTCAAAATTTTGAGTTTGGAGTGCTCTGTAGAGCCTAAGAAAGTCAAGTGGTTACTAAGCTGCCAGTGTCTGCCTTTGAGGCCAGGGCCCAGTTAGGTGGGAAAAATTCCCAAGAAAGGTGCATGGATGGGTGTATTCATCCATTTTTACACTGCAGATAAAGACGTAGGCTGGATACATGGCTCATGACTGTATCCTAGCACTTTGGGAGGCAAAGGCGGGCGGATCACCTGAGGTCAGAAGTTCGAGACCAGCCTGGACAACATGGCGAAACCCTGTCTCTACTAAAAATCCAAAAAAATTAGCCAGGCGTGGTGGTGAGTGCCTGTAATCCCAGCTACCTGGGAGGCTGAAGCAGGAGAATTGCTGGAATCCGGGAGGTGGAGGCTGCAGTGAGCTGAGATAGTGCCACTGCACTGCAGCCTGGGCAACAGAGGGAGACTCTGTCTAAAAAAAAAAAAAAAAGAAAAAAGAAAAAAGACATACCTGAGACTGAGTAATTTATAAAGAAAAACAGGTTTAATGGAGTCACAGTTCCACATGGCTGGGGAGGCTTCACAATCACGGTGGAAGAGTAAGGGATGTCTTACATCGTGGCAGGCAAAGAAAGAATGAAAACCAAGTGAAATGGGCTTCCCTTTATAAAACCATGAGATGTTGTGAGAGGTGTTCACTACCATGAGAACAGTATGGGGGAAACTTCCCCTATGATTCAATTAGCTTCCACCTGGTCCCTCCCATAACGTGGGAATTATGGGAGCTACAATTCAGGATGAGATTTGAGTGCGGACACAGCCAAACCGTGTCAATGGGTGGATCCCAGGGCTGGATTAGCCTGGGAGGGGTACGGTTGCAGCAGCAAGTAGCCAAAGCAGAGACATGAGAATGTAATCAAACAGCCAAATGTGTCATTTGTCATGGTTAAGGAAAGTGTATAATATTTGATTGAACATCAACATCACGGACCAAGAGAATCAAGAGCATTCAGACAAGGGGTAGGCAGGGAACTGGCCAGGTGGTTCTGGAATATATGCTCCACCCCATTCTCTCTGCATTCTACATTGTCTCTGCAAAAGAGAATTATGGACACAGGAGGGGAGCACTACACACTGGGGTCAGTTGGGGGGAAATAGGGGAGGGACGGTGCGGGGTGGGAAGCTGGGGAGAGATAGCAAGGGGAGAAATGCCAGATGTAGGTGATGGGGAGGAAGGCAGCAAATCACACTGCCACGTGTGTTCCTATGCAACAATTTTGCATGTTCTTCACATGTACCCCAAAACCTAAAATGCAATAAAAAAAAAAAAAAAGAGAATTACCTGATTACCTGTAAGCCTGGAAGAAAGAGGAGGAGATTCTGTGAGATCACCCATTAACTTTGACTTTCATGTTCCATTTTCGTTTTTGTTCTTGGGTTTAGTATCTTAAATTTCTGGATCAGCTTTTGGAGAAAATGAAGTTGGACCAGATGGCTGCTGAACTTGGCTTTGACATGCGGCTGGATGTGGTTTTAGCTCGAACAGAGCAGCTGATTCGTCTTGAGAGCAATGCAGTGATCGAGAACAAGACCATTGCCCACAATTTGCAGAGAAAGGTAGGGGATATTGAAACTTGCTAGTATTGACAGAATAAATTTCTGAAAAACCCAAATACTGAAAAATAATGTACAACCACCATATTTACCAGTGTAGCTAGAAAGCATCTTATAAAAATATGTATCTAGAATTGGAGGCTCAACTTTAAGCCTGAAGAGTTGGTAAGTGTATCTGTCACCTAAAGTCAAGGTTGTGTTTCACTGTGTGTAATTGGGACCCACAATGACAGTGACTTAAGCAAGTAGAAGTGTTTTGTTTTTGTTTTTCCATCACACAAATTCCTGGAGACGGGAAGATCGGGGCTGGTGTGGCAACTCTCCTCTGTAAAGTCTTCGAGAAACCAGATCATTTCAGCTGGTTCACTTCCCATTCCTAGGGTGATTCTTATTCTCATGGTTCCAAATCGTGCCTGGAACCATTATATCTGTGTTCAAGGTAGAATAGAAGAAAGGAGTGAGAAAGAGGGCTGCAAAAGAACAAGCAAGAGGCATCTTTTGAAAAAGGCACTCAGAATTTGCTACATGAAATTTTGTTTATATCTCACGGCCAGAATATGTTTTGGTGGCCAAACCTAGCTGCAAGGGAGGCTTGCAAATGTAGACTTTACTATGGGTAACCATTTACCTAGCTAGAAAAAATTCATAGTTTCTATTACTTTGGGAGAAGAGGAGAACTGGGGGAGCATTTAGCAGCCTCTGCATTTATAAGCTCAGTTGCACTAGAAATTCTAGTAGAGAGAGAAGGGCTTCCTTTTCCTAACCCAAAGGAAAAGTTAGAAGCAGTTTAGACTAAATCAATGAATGGATGGATGAAAGGGATAAAATATAATTATTAGTTACATAATTATTGGTATTGGAGAAAGAAATAGGAAAACACAGATGCATTCTTATAATAGTTCTTAGGAGAAAAATGCTGTGATACAATTCCAGTGTAGATGCTGAATAATGAGTCACATCTGGGCTCCCAATTTGGCTCCATCAAGCTGTGTGACCTTGGACAAATTATATACCTCTCTGTCTCTGTTTCCTCATATTTAAGATGCGGATGCTATATACCTCAAAGAGTTGTTAACTTTTAATAAATAACATTTTCAAACCCTTGGCTCACAGAAGATGCTCTATTCATGTTTGGCTTCTTCTCCACCACCATATCTTGAGAAACATTTTATAAAAGATAGCAGATGAACCCTATTACTGTTCCAGATATTAAATTAATCTACCATTCTTTCAAAAATTCTGCTCAGGTAATTGATTCTTTTTCTCAACATCCAACACCATTACTTCTTAATAATTATATAATCATTAAACTTACATCAAGTGCACAGAACTTGCCAGTGTAAAATTGCAATGGAGTGGAATTTTTCTTTTCTTTTTTTTTTTGAGACAGAGTTTCACTCTTGTTGCCCAGGCTGGAGTGCAATGGCTCAATCTCGGATCACTGCAACCTCTTCCTCCCAAGTTCAAGTGATTCTCCTGTCTCAATTTCTCGAGCAGCTGGGATTATAGGAACCTGCCACCAGGCCTGACTAATTTTTGTATTTTTAGTAGAGACAGGGTTTCACTATGTTGGCCAGGCTGGTCTCAAACTCCTGACCTCAGGTGATCCACCTTCCTTGGCCTCCCAAAGTGCTGCAATTACAGGCGTGAGCCACCGTTCCTGACCTGGAGTAGAATTTGACATGAAGAAGCTTAAGAAAGGGAATTTGGTTAGAGAAATATTAAAAAGGCTTTGTTCAAAAGTGATCTAGGTAGGGACACAGCTGTCACTGTTAGGCAGGATACTCAAAGCAGCATTTCAGTAAGTCCACCTTCTACTACTTTATAAGTGCAGAGTAGATAATTAGGGGAATTTGATGGTCTTCAGCTTGAACACTTGATAATTCCACATGATTCTGATTCTGATGTTTGTTGTAGATGACAAAGGTTTCTGTACTTAATATTCCATCCACTAATTGTGACATGTGGCACCCAGGAAGATTCTTTCCCTTCTGGAGCCCATAGTCACTTTCTCAAATATCACTCTAATTTCCTTTTTTTAAGTTTGATTACCAATGATAAATGATGTTTGAGGACCTGTCCTCTGCTTAGTTTGTGGATCTTACAGGCAAGGCATATAACAAAGACCAAGAAACCTTTCTACAGCCCCTTTTATTCCTAAGATTTTATATGTATAAGCAAAGCTTTCTTAAAAATCTCCTTGATATACCTTACTTTAAAAATATATCAACTCTCAGCTGGGTCCGGTGGCTTACACCTGTAATCCCAGCACTTTTGGAGGCTGAGGCGGGTGGATCTTTTGAACCCAAGAGTTCCTCACCAGCCTGGGCAACACGGTGAAACCCTGTCTTTACAAAAGATACAAAAATTAGCTGGGTGTGGTGGCATGCACCTGTAGTCCCAGCTACTTGGGAGGCTGAGAGGTGGAAGGATTGCTTGAGCCTGGGAGGTAGAACCCGCAGTGAGCTATGATCATGTCATTACACCCCAGTCTGCACAACAGAATAAGACGCTATCTAAAAAAAAAGTTGATATATATATCAACTCTCATGTCGGGGTCCAACTACTCCAGTTCTAAAGGATTGAAATGAGCCAGTCTAGGTTTGTGGTACACACTTGCATTGTATCTTATTTCAGAAAACGCCAGTTCAGGTACTGTGGCCGTTAGATGTTGGACGGGACTTTGTCTCTCTGATTATATTCTGCTTTTGATAAACCCATCTGAGGAGTTTTTTAAAAGCAATTTACATTTTTATGATGATGCCCATAATGTTAGCATCAGATGTGGAAAGCCGACGCCTCCACACATTTTCTCGGTCTCTTTTGTCTGAGATTTTAGCTATGCAATTCTTGGAAAGGGTATGAATAAAAAATGCAATCAGGAAAAGGAATCCAATGACCTTTTTTGATGGTTTACAAATTAGTCTTATTGAAGTGTAGATAAAGATCAACATTATCTGGGTAACTCATTTATATTTACTATTGTTCCATTATTAAAAAAAAAAAAAATCCCTGCTGGCATCAAACCAGCTAAAGACACAGAAAGAAAGACTGGAGAGCAAAGAACTACACATGAGCCTCCTCCGGCAGAAAATCGCCCAGCTGGAGGAGGAGCGGCAGGCACGCACGGCCTTGGTGGTTGAGAGAGACAGCGCGCATGTCACCATCAGGAACTTGCAGAAGAAGGTGGAGAGGATGCAGACGGAGCTGAGCACGTGTCGAGACTTGAACACCGAGCTCAAAACCAAACTGGCCGACACCAATGAACTGAAGGCAAGTGCTCGGCTCCATTTCCTTGTTGCTTTTTGCTGGTTACTGTCAGTGTTTATGCAAAGGAATGACAGTCTTATCAGGACACACCAGAAAAAGAAAGATGAAAACTTCCTCTGATTTTCTAGAGTTGTGGGAAAAATGCCAAAATGACACAAATCAGAGTACATATCCATTTAGTGTCTCTTCAATATCTGAAGTGAAGTCATCACTGGGTGAAAAGTCAGTCAAAAAGCAATGTTTTATTTATTTATTTATTTATTTAGAGGCAGAGTTTTACTCTTGTCACCCAGGCTGGAGTGCAATGGTGCGATCTTGGCTCACTGCAACCTCTGCCTCCCAGGCTCAAGCGATTCTGCTGCCTCAGCCTCCCTAACAGCTGGGATTACAGGCACATGCCACAATGCCTGACTAACTTGCTATATTTAGTAGAGATGGAGTTCTTCCATGTTGGTCAGGCTGGTCTTGAACTCCCAACCTCAGGTGATCTGCATGTCTCAGTCTCCCAAAGTGCTGGGATTACAGGCGCGAGCTACTGCACCTGGCCAAAAAGTGGTGAAGTTTTAAGTACAGGAAAGAAACACATTTCTCCAAAGTGTATTTGACTGCTATTAAGGATGAGGCAGGGATTTATCACATTGGAATTCGCTTAGGAAGAAATAAGAAAACAGGCACAACTGTTTGCTGAGAAAAGCCAGGCAGGCAAGGGTATTTATGTTGTGCTTTGTAGGATATGTCATTACCAAGTCCAGCGGAGAGGGTCAACAGACTGGGAGAATAGTTCCCTGTATTCAAGGTGTTCAACTTCTAACAAAGGCAGAACAAAAAGAAATGAAAACTTACAAGAATGTAATCAAAAGATTTATGTGTCATGCATGTGTGTCAATGGCAATAATATGTAACTTAATATGCACACATCCTCCCAGCAGGTGTGCAAATCACAAGTATAATGGACAATAACGTCCTGGCTTTTTGCAGACAATGCTCTGAAACTGCTTTTTGGAAGGTTTCTGAATCTGGAAACAGACATGCAGGGAAAAAGAATTTGGAATGAAGCCAGCCCTTGAACATGTGTTGTGGGGACAATGTTTCAGAAAATGTTTTCTACTGTATTTTCCCTCCTGAGTAATTTGCTTTTCCTTGCTGAAGTTCTGCCATTGGGACGAAATGACCAAGTTGAAGCATGCTTCCCTGGAGAAGTGGAGAACAAGCACCCATCAGAGAAGGGGACATGCTAGAATACAAGGAAACAGGGAAGCAAGGGGAAGCATCTGAGGTAGTGGCATGGGTGGGGAGGAAATATCAGAGGTAAGTCCCCTCAACAGTCCCTTTACAGCTTGAGACTGACCTTTGGGGGGATTTGGGGTGGGGTGGGATAGCATCAGGTGCTCCATCCCTGACTGGAAGGGGCTGCAAAAGATGATGAATCTGGGGGCCTAGTTTGCACCCCGATTCCCTGGAGCCTGGAGTTTCATTTTCACTAGTGAGGGATATGGACGACAGCTGAAGACACATGCTGGTGAGCTCATTACCGGAGGAGATGGGGGTGTTCCCTTCAACTGAGGGACAAAGTGACCCTCCATCGAAGGCCCTGGGGTAATCACCTAGGCTATGGCACAATAGCAGCTACAGCCAAGTCTTGAATTAGCCAAGACCAGTGATGGGAACTTGACTCTGGTGAGTGACCCTCACAAACTCTGTGAGTCAAATAATAGATACAGGAGAGATTCAAGGCAGTATGAGGGCCTGAATCACTTCTAATATCACAAGGACTTTCCTCCACTTAGTGATCATCTCAGAAAGAAGAAGGGAGAGAAGAATCCCCTAAAGATGGCATTGCATGAACAAAAACAAATTTTAAACCCAAAGAGCTGCAGTTAGTTACAAATGCCATCTGCTTGAATCATTTGGAGTGATGGTGGTGGGGAGTTTGTTTTTTATATCCAAAGGACTATGCAGATTATCCCAAAGTTAATATGGCTGGGACACTGCATCAGGTGCTCCTGATTGTAGGTTGTGCAGGTGTTCATCCCTGGGCCCCTCTGACATCCTTGCTTATAAGGATACAGGAGTATTACTTTGTTAGAGAGAATAAAGGGCCTTTGAACACTTCCAAAGAAGCCAGAAGAAAAGTTAAAAAAAAAAAAAAGTGAAAACCAGTGGTAAGACAGCTAATAGTGGGAGAATGTAATTCTCCAAAATAGGAAAAGAAACCTCACCATTATAGGCAACGTGTGATGCAGACCTTTGAAAAGGAAACAAAACTCTGGGCCTCAGAGAACAATAAGGAGAATTTGCAGACCTGATCTAACACTTTTGAAGACTTTCTCTTACCCATAGGGAGATGGTTTCATGTAATAAGGATATGGTTAATTCAGAGGTGTATAGCGTTTCACAAACTCAGACTAAAAAATCAGTCTCCTGCCTTTGCCAAGACTTTATAAATGTAGATTACTTCCCAGTGCTGTCATGATATTTGGTACAACATTGCTTCTGATTAAACAACAGTTGGTTGTAGTAGAGGATGAGGATGGGTGACAACGTAATAATAGGTGAATAGGAGGTCTGGTTGGCTGCTGATGACACCTTGACAGTGTCTGGCAGTTAGGGGGTGGTGGAAGAAGCTGAGCAGTGGACAGGGGCCTGATCACATGGAGCCTTATGTGTCACGCTAAGATGTTTGGACTTATCCTCTGGATCCTGTGAAGTCATTGAAAGATAATATTGTCAGGAAAAGGACTGAGAAGAAACAGAGAGAGACAGGGAGAGAGCAGAATGAGGCTGTGGTCAACTGTATCAAGTGCAGCAGGGACATAATGATGAAGGAGTATCCACTGCACTTGGCTTTGGAAAATCTGTGATTCAGGCATGTACAGATCATGGTGGTAGTGGGTGAGGGTTTTGAGAATAAGCTAAATTTCAGGGATGAAAGAGAAATGAAAACAGAGACAGTGCAATACCCTTCTGGGATACTTGGATGAAAAGAAGAGAGTTGGGAAAGTAAACAAAGTTGGCTTGTGTGTTTACTTGGTGGCTTTATTTTGCATAGACAGAGCCACATTCTTTTACAGATAAGATATAGGAAAGGTGGCCAGGCACAGTGGCTCATGCCTGTAATCCCAGTACCTTGGGAAGCTGAGGTGGGTGGATCACTTGAGGTCAGGAGTTCGAGACCAGCCTAGCCAACATGGTGAAACCCTGTCTCTACTAAAAATACAAAAATAGCTGGACGTGGTAGTGTGCACCTGTAGTCCCAGCTACTCGGGAGGCTGAAGCAGGAGAATCACTTGAACCCAGGAGGCAGAGGTTGCCGTGAGTGGAGACTGTACCACTATACTCCAGCCTGGGCGACAGAGTGACACTGTCTCAGAAAAAAAAATATATATAGGAAAGGCATAGGAGAGACGTGGTTAGACTAACTCAAGAGTTACTCAGGCCCCTACCTATGTCAAAGGAATGTTAAGTCTGCCTTCCAGTGGAGAATAGCAATCTATTGCTAACTTGCTAACACAGTAAATGCCAACTTCATGCATTAATGAGATATCAAATGCAGGATAGATTTTTATTTTGTATTTGATACACATCCCAAATATCAGACTTCTGATATCAATGTCCAAGACAGACTACTGATAGTAACTATCCACCATTGTACATTGGCTAAGCTGGTCCCTGTATTAATTTCACTATCATAAAGTAATATTTCTAGACATTAGCAAAAACAGCTTTACTTTATTAATGTCTTAGGGCTACCCAATTGCCACAAAGCGGGTGGCTTAATACTCAATACTGCTAACAGTCATTGGTTTATAGCTGCATAATTTCAACCTCTGCCTCCCCTTCACATCACCTCCCCTGTGTGTCTCTCCTTTTCTATCTCTTATAAGGACATCCATTGTTGGAGTTAGGGCCCATCCTAATTTGAAATTATCTTATCATGAGACTCTTACCTTAATCATTACCTGCAAAGGCCCTTAGCTAAATAAGGTCCCATTCTGAGGTTCTGGGTGGATGCAGCTTTTGGGAAGGCACTATTCACCCCACTACACTTATTAAATTAACAATTTTACCGCTCTTTTAGGGACAAATAAAATAATTTGAATTGTATTTCTATGTTTTATTAAATGAGAAATATTTACAAGTCATAAAGTTTATTTTTAAAGTATATAATTTAATGGTTTTTAGTATATTGACAAGGTTGTTCAAACATTACCACTATCTAATTCTAGGACTTTCTATCAATCCTCCCACATTCTGCCCCAGAATCCTACACCCATCCACAACCATTCTTCATTTATCCTTTCTTCAACCTCTGGTAACCAGTAATCTTTCTGTCTTTATTAATTTGTCCATTCTATAAATTATATATAAATGGAATCATATTATGTGATTTTTTTCTGTTTTCCTGCTGCTGATAAAGACATATCTGAGACTGGGCAATTTCCAAAAGAAAGAGGTTTAATGGACTTCCAGTTCCACATGGCTGGGGAGGCCTCACAATCATGAAGATGAAAGGCACTTCTTACATGGCGGCAGCAAGAGACAATGAGAGCCAAGTGACAGGGGTTTTCCCTTATAAAACCATCAGATCTCATGAGACTTACTCACTATCATGAGAAAAGCATGAGAAGGACACCACCATGATTCAATTATCTCCCACTAGGTCCCTCCCACAACATATGGAAATTATGGGCACTACAATTCAAGATGATATTTGGGTGGTGACACAGCCAAACCATATAATTTCTTCTACTTAGCATGAGTATACTTAGTGTTTTTAAGGTTCATCTCATGTTGTATCATGGATTAGTATTTCATTCCTGTATTAGGGTCCTCCAGAGAAACAGAAGCATTAGGAGGTGTATGTGTGTGTATGTGTGTTTGTGTGTATATACAGACAGATATATGTAGATATAAATATATAATATAAATATCTACATCTATTCATCAATCATCTATCAATCATCTATCCATCTATCAATCATCTATCTATCCATCTATCAATC